TTTTAAATCCTCCCTTCATGTCTTTCAACTTGATTTTTAAAGAGATTTTGTAGACCTCCTTAGAATAATTATTTTTTAAAATATTTTTGAGCCTGAATTCCGGAATTTTTAATTTCCTCCCCTTGAACCCACTTTTGATCCCCACTGTGTCCATGAGTTTTTCCCATGAAAATGAGCTGTGAGTGAAAGTCTTCAGTTTTTGCATGTAGTTTGTTTTCTTCTTTTGATTAATGTAATGAGCATTTTGGAACACTTAGAATGAGTGTAGGGACCACAAAAATTAATTGGAAAAATAATTTCAAAGGAAAATATAAAAAAACCAAACATTTTGACAAATTATGTGAAATACTCTACAAAGCTGGGACGTTTCTGACGAAAGTTATATGCGCAATTTTGTAAATTGTTAATGTGTTGGTGTGGAGTTCTTTGAAAAGAAATATTAAAAAATATTTCCAAGTAAAGCAAGCATCAAAAAAATCTTTCAAATGGGGCTTTTAAAATTTTTTAAATAAAAAAACATAAATAAGTGGCGCCCAAACAGAGGTACAAGATTTGAAACAGTAATATATAAAAAGAAGAATATATAAGTAATCCCTCATTGGATTTTGTTAATTTTTCTGAAGATATAATGACACCAAATAATCATAAATTACATATTTTTCTAATGGCGCCCAATGTGGGATAACAGATTAAAATAGTAAAATGACCTTGGAGAAAAATGCTATTAATCACTGGTTGGTTTGATATTGTTTACTTTTTTCGAAAATATGATGACAGAAACTCTTTAATAAAATACTTGTTTAAATGGCGCCCAACGTGGGGTAAATAATTTAAACTGTAAAATAGCCTTGGAAAATGTATTTTAATCACTCTTTAGCTTTTATTTTTTTTATTTTCGCGACATTACTCATCGGAATTGTAACAAATTTGGTATTTGAAGTTCCTAATAGGTGCTACAGTCTATGACAGAAAATTGTCTGTGCGGGGCCAGGTCTTCGTATAGCCTCCATATAACCGCACCTCCCGATATTCGGTATTTGGGTGATTTTAGCGACATTATTCACCGGAATTGTTTCAAAATTGGTATTTGAATTTCGTAATAGACACTACAGCCTATGACAGTAAATTGTGCGCGTAGGTCCACGTCTTCGTATAGCCTACATATAATGGTACCTCCCGATGTTCGGTATTTTGATGATTTTAGCGACATTATTCACCGGAATTATTTCAAATTTGGATTTTGAAGTTCGTAATGGATACTGCAGCCTATGGCCGAAAATTGTCTGTACAACTCCACGCCTTCGTATAGCCCCCATATAATGGTGCCTCCCGATATTCGGTATTTTGGTGATTTTAGCGACATTATTCACGGGAATTGTTTCAAATTTGGTACTTGAAGTTCGTAATTGATACTGCAGCCCATGACAGAAAATTGTCCGTGCAGGACCACGTCTTCGTATAGCTCCCATATAACGGTACCTCCCGATATTCGGTATTTTGATGATTCTAACGCCATTATTCACCGGAATTGTTTCAAATTTGCTATTTGAAGTTCGTAATGGATACTGCAGCCTATGACAGAAAATTGTCTGTACAGGTCCACGGCTTCGTATAGCCCCCATATAACGGTACCTCCCGATATTCGATATTTTGATGATTCTAACGACATTATTCACCGGAATTGTTTCAAATTTTGTATTTGAAGTTCGTAATTGATACTGCAGCCTATGACAGAAAATTGTCTGTGCAGGTCCACGTCGTCGTATAGCCCCCATATAACTGTACCTCCGGATATTGGGTATTTTGATGATTCTAGCGACATTATTTACCGGAATTGTTTCAAATTTGGTACTTGAAGTTCCTAATAGATACTACGGCTTAAGACAGAAAATGGTCATGTAGGTCCACGTCTTCGTATGACCACAATATAACGGTATCCTCCGATATTCGGTATTTTGATGATTTTCGTGACATTGTTCGCCGAAATTGTTTCAAAATTGGCATTTGAAGTTCGTAATGGATGCTGCAGCCTTTGACAGAAAATTTTCTGTGCAGGTCCACGCCTTCGCATAACCCCCATATAACGGCACCTCCAAATATTCGGTATTTTGATGATTTTAGCGACATTATTCACCGGAATTGTTTGAAATTTGGTATTTAAAGTTCGTAATGGATACTACAGCCTATGACAGAAAATTGTGGGTGTAGGTCCACGTCTTCGTATAGCCTCCTCCTCAAAGTTTCGCATTTGAATTTTGTTATGGCTTATGATAAAATTTGCCTTTACAGGTCCACGTCGTCGTATAGACCCTAATATAACAGCTACATTCGGTATTTTTAAGATTTTAACGGAATTTTTAACGGATTTTTTTTTTTTAGGAAAATTGTAGAATTCTTTCTAAATGGTGGAGGGTATTCAAAGTTCGGCCCGGCCGAACTTACAGCTTTTTTACTGTTCTTTTCTGATGATGCAATCTCCATAAATAAAATATATTTTTAAATGGCGCCCAAGGTGGGATAAAGATTTAAAACTGTAAAATTGCCTTAGAGAATATTTTATTAATCATTGGCTGATTTTATATTATTTTTCCGAAGATATGATGCCAGGAATTCTCTTTTATAAAATGTTTTTAAGATGGCGCCCAACATGGGGTAAAGAATACAAATTGTAAAATTGCCTTAGAAAATGTATAATGTATCACTCATTAGTTATTTCTTTTTCTGATGATGTGATTCCAGTAATGCTCTTAAATAAAGTATTTTTTTTTTTTAAATGGCGCCCAATGTGGGGGAAGAACTTGAAATAGTAAAATAGCCTTAGAAAAAAATATATTAGTCACCGGTTGGTTTTATATTGTTTTTTTTTTTCGTAGATATGATGCCGGAAATTCTTCTTAATAAAATATTTTTTTTAATGGCGCCCAACGTGGGGTAAAAAAATTAAAACAGGAAAATGACCCTAGAAAAAATTCTTGTAGTCACTCTTTAGTTTTTTTTTTTAAATAAAAGATATGATGCCAGAAACTCTCTTTAATAAAAATATTTTTTTTTTGAATGGCGCCCAACGTGGGGTAAAACAATTAAAAAAATAAAATTATCTTAAAAAAATCTATTAATCACACTTTAGGTTTTAAAAAAAAAAAATTAAAAATATGATACCAGAAATTCTCTTAAAAAAATATTAAAAAAATTAAAAAAGGAAAAAATGACCCTAGAAAAAATTCTATTAATCACTCATTAATTAAAAAAAAAATAAATAAATAAAAAATATGATGCCAGAAATTCTTTTTAATAACAATTTTTCTTTTTGAATGGCGCCCAACGTGAGGTGAAAAAATTTAAACAGGAAAATGATTCTAGAAAAAATTTATTGGTCACTCTTTAGTTTTTTTGTTTATATAAAAAATATGATGCCAGAAATACTCTTTAATAAGATATTTTTGTAAATGGTGCCCAACGTGGGATAGAAAAAAAATTAAAACAGGAAAATGGCCCTAGAAAAATTTGTATTAGTCACTCTTTAGTTTTTTTTTTTTTTAATAAAAGATATGATGCCAGAAATTCTCTTTAATAAAAAACATTTTTTTGAATGGCGCCCAACGTGGGGTAAAAAAATTAAAACAATCGAATAACATTAAAAAAATTTTAATAATCAATCTTTAGTTAAAAAAAAATAAAAACATGATGCCAGAAATTCTCTTTAATCAAAATATTTTTGTAAATGGCGCCCAACGTGGGGTAAAACAATAAAATAACCTTAAAAAAATTCTATAAATCACTCTTTGTTTTTTTTTTTTTAAATTAAAAATATAATGCCAGAAATTCTCTTTGACCGTAGAATATATATTTTTTTTTGGGTGGGGGGTTCCTTTTTTTTTACGATGTGGTGCAAGCTATTCTCTAAAATACGTGGGGTAAAAAAATTAAAAAAAGAAAATGACCCTGAAAAATTCCTATTAGTCACTCTTTAATAAAAATATTTTTTGAATGGCGCCCAACGTGGGGTAAAAGAATTAAAACAATAAAATAACCTTAAAAAAATTCTAATAATCATTCTTTAGTTAAAAAAAATAAAATAAAAATATGATGCCAGAAATTTTCTTTAAAAAAATATTTATTTTGAATGGCGCCCAACGTGAGGTAAAAAAATTAAAACAGGAAAATGACCCTAGAAAAATTTCTATTAGTCACTCTTTAGTTTTTTTTTTTTTTTAAATAAAAGATATGATGCCAGAAACTCTCTTTAATAAAAATATTTTTTTTTTGAATGGCGCCCATCGTGCGGTAAAAAAAATTAAAACAGGAAAAAATTCTATTAATCACTCATTAATTAAAAAAAATAATAAAAATTTGATGCCAGAAATTCTTTTTAATAAGATTATTTCTTTTTGAATGGCGCCCAACGTGGGGTAAAAAAATTAAAACAGGAAAATGACCCTAGAATGAATAATAAATGGGGGGTTTTCCCTGTTTTTTTTACGATGTGGTGTCAGATATTCCAAAAAAGGGAAAAAATATTTTAAATGGCGCCCAACGTGGGATAAAAAATTAAGAATGCAAAATAGTCCCAGGTTGGATAATTTGTAACATGTTCTGATGATTTTATGATTTTGTGCAGATATGATGGCCCAAACAATTTTGTTATTATCAAATGGCGCCCAACGAGGGTCATTGACATTTCTTTTGAACAAAAAAACCTTGTAAGAATTAAAAAACTATTTTCTACTACTCCTTTGCTTCCATTAAATGCTTTGCTCAATTGGAAATGTTAAATTGAAAGCAAACCACTTGCTCTGACAATCGAAAAAAATTACAAAGAATATGAAAGCAGGCTACTCAATTCAGGATACTTGCAACATCAACAACAGCTCTAAAACCTTACACCTCCCTCTCTCTCTCTCTCTCTCTCTTTAGCCATTACCATTACAATTCAATTCATTGGGAATTGGTATTTTTTTTTTGTTTTGTTTCTTGTTGCTTTTTTGCATCCAATCAAACACATGCGTCCCCATCAGCCGCATCACATTCATTTGTCGACCGAGAAATGTGTGTGTGTGTTGTTATCCTTTTGCGAAAAGGATAACCTTGCTGTATGTACTTTATATCTCTCGCTCTCTACTAATAATCCCATATTGTTTCATTTTGCATTTAAGTGAGTACTACATATATGTGTCTGTGTGTGTTTTTTCTCTCGTTTCATTGCAGATATTATTCATGGAAAGCTGTTCCAGAATAATCGCTTTCTGGAAATCGATTATGCCCAGGGTCGTGATATACCACCCGGTTATACAACAAAGATTGCTAAAACCCTACAGGATTGGGTCGATTCATGTGATGCCATTTCCAATTGCATTGTCGAACAGATAAAACATGCAAATGCCGAGAAATCAAAGAAGCTGGATAATAAAAAACAAATTGAACAGAAGGTAAGGTCAAACAAAAAAATGGTGCTGATGTACTGTGTACTACTGTACGGATATGTTTTAATGCATTTTTTAAGAGTTTCTTAAGTTTTATTTTCGAGGGCCCTTGAAAGATTTTGTAAAGATTTTTTGGGGTCTCCTTAAAGACCTTGTCACAACAATTTCTCAATGAATTTTTGAGGTGTCCCAAATTTTTGAGACCTTCCACGTGGATTTTTAATGAATTTTCATAGCCTACTCACGGCCTTACCACGTGAATTATTCAAGAATTTTTGGGGCAGACTACAATTTTTTACTCCTAAATTTTCAGAGATTTTTAGGCATTGAATTTGGTTTTTAAATAATTTTTGAGGCCTTCCCTTCAGGTCTTTTAAAGTGGATTTTTTTTAATGTTTATAGCCTTTCTATGTGGATTTTTTAAAGAATTTGTTGAGGTATTCCTTTAAGTCATAAGTCTAGGATTTGTTTAGCCTTTCCTTCAGGTCATTAGGCTAGGATTTTTGAGGCCTCCATTCAGGTCTTTTAACGTGGATTTTTTTAAAGAACTTTTGAGACCTTCCTTCAGGTCATTAGGCTTGGATTTTCTAAATATTTTTTGAGGCCTTCCTTCAGGTCATTGGGCTTGGATTTCCAAAAGTTTTTGAGGCCTTCCTTCCGGCCCTTTATCATGGATTTTTTAAAGAATTTTTGAGACCTTCCTACAGGCCTTTTAACATGGATTTTTTAAAGAATTTTTGAGGCCTCCGTTCAGCTTTTTAAAGTGGCTTTTCGATATGGATTTTTTAAATAATTCTCGAGGAATTTTTAAATACCTTTTCCGTGTATTTTTGGGGACTCCTTAAAGGCCAAGTGGATATTTTAAAGATTTTTTAAAGACGCCTTAAACTCTAATCTGCTTGAACTTTTTAAGCACATCTAAAATGCAATTCAGAGATCCATTAAAGATTATTAAGGGGGGATTTTTAAGGAGATTTAGGATACGCTTTAAGGGCAATTTTAAAGAGTTTTAGGATACCCTTTGAGGGCCGTACTACATGGATTTTTAGAGAATTTTTCGGTACTCTACGAAGGTCCTACCGTTAGGATTTTTTAAATAATTTTTATAGACTCCTTAAGGCCTTACGGCGTGGATTTTCCCATCAAAACTCTTAAATAGTTTTTGGATACCTCTTAATTACCTCGTCACGTGCATTTTTTTTAAATGTTCGGTACTCCTTAAGAGCTTTTCCAAGTGTCTTTGACATTTTTGGGGAAAACTTAAAGGCTTTTCTGCGTGGATCTTTAAAATAATGTTTTGAGGCCTCTTAAATGCAATTTAGCGAAGATTTTTAAAATAATTTTTAGAGACTCCTTAAATGTTGTTTTAGGATACCCTTTACGGGCCGTTCTACATGAATTTTTTAGAGAATTTTTCGGAACTGCACGAAGGTCCTACCGCTAGGATTTTTTAAAGATTTTTTATAGACTCCTTCAAGGCCTTGCGGCGTGGATTTCCCAATCAAAATTTTTAAAGAGTTTTTGGAGACCTCTTATGTTTTTTTAGAGAATTTTTCGGAAATTATAAACCTACCCAACCGCCATAAAACGTTGATTTTTTAGGGAAAGAAAACATGAATTTTTAAGGATTTTTTAATCCTCCCGGAAGCTCGGAAATCGTGAGGCTCCCTATAATCCTAAGAAAGTGATTTTTTTAAAGAAAAGAGAAAATAACATAGACTTTGTTTTGAAGAATTTCAGTCCTCCCTAAGACCACAAAACGTTGATGTTTTTAGCATTTTTCAAGCCTCCTTCTATGCCTTTTTTGAAGAATTTTTAAATCTTTTTTTCAGACCTTAAACATAGATTTTTTAAACAGTTTTAAAGCCTCCATCGAGCCCTTAAATGTGGATTTTAAAGTCTTCCTCTAACTTGCAAACACCTGAAACTCAGGAAATGTGTTTTTTAGAGGACATCTAAGGCTCATAAAACGTATTTTTTTAAGATTTTTTTGGTTCTCTATAGACCAAAAAATGTTTTTTTTTTTTTTAAGATTTTTCTGAGGCCATCCTATTGCCCTAAAACGTGGATTTTTTTAAGATTTTTCTGAGCCCAACCTTTGGCCCTAAAACGTGGATTTTTTAAAGATTTTTTCTGAGGCCATCCTATTGCCCTAAAACGTGGATTTATTACAGATTTTCCTGAGGCCATCCTATTGCCCTAAAACGTGGATATTTTAAAGATTTTTCTGAAGCCATCCTATTGCCCTAAAACGTGGATTTTTTAAAGATTTTTCTGAGGCCATCCTATTGCCCTAAAACGTGGATTTTCTAAAGATTTCTGAGGCCATCCTATTGCCCTAAAACGTGGATTTTTTAAAGATTTTTCTGAGGCCATCCTATTGCCCTAAAACGTGGATTTTTTAAAGATTTTTCTGAGGCCATCCTATTGCCATAAAACGTGGATTTTTCAAAGATTTTTCTGAGGCCATCCTATTGCCCTAAAACGTGGATTTTTTAAAGATTTTTCTGAGGCTATCCTATTGCCCTTAAACGTGGATGTTTTAAAGATTTTTCTGAGACCATCCTATTGCCCTAAAACGTGGATTTTTTAAAGATTTTTCTGAGGCCATCCCATTGCCCTAAAACGTGGATTTTTTTAAAGATTTTTCTGAGGCCATCCTATTGCCCTAAAACGTGGATTTTTTTAAAGATTTTTTCTGAGGCCATCCTATTGCCCTAAAACGTGGATTTTTTAAAGATTTTCCTGAGGCCATCCTATTGCCATAAAACGTGGATTTTTTAAAGATTTTTCTGAGGCCATCCTATTGCCCTGAAACGTGGAGTTTTCAAAGATTTTTCTGAGGCCATCCTATTGCCCTAAAACGTGGATTTTTTAAAGATTTTTCTGAGGCCATCCTATTGCCCTGAAACGTGGAGTTTTCAAAGATTTTTCTGAGGCCATCCTATTGCCCTAAAACGTGGATTTTTTAAAGATTTTTCTGAGGCCATCCTATTGCCCTGAAACGTGGAGTTTTCAAAGATTTTTCTGAGGCCATCCTATTGCCCTAAAACGTGGATTTTTTAAAGATTTTTCTGAGGCCATCCTATTGCCCTGAAACGTGGAGTTTTCAAAGATTTTTCTGAGGCCATCCTATTGCCCTAAAACGTGGATTTTTTAAAGATTTTTCTGAGGCTATCCTATTGCCCTTAAACGTGGATTTTTTAAAGATTTTTCTGAGACCATCCTATTGCCCTAAAACGTGGATTTTTTAAAGATTTTTCTGAGGCCATCCCATTGCCCTAAAACGTGGATTTTTTTAAAGATTTTTCTGAGGCCATCCTATTGCCCTAAAACGTGGATTTTTTTAAAGATTTTTTCTGAGGCCATCCTATTGCCCTAAAACGTGGATTTTTTAAAGATTTTCCTGAGGCCATCCTATTGCCATAAAACGTGGATTTTTTAAAGATTTTTCTGAGGCCATCCTATTGCCCTGAAACGTGGAGTTTTCAAAGATTTTTCTGAGGCCATCCTATTGCCCTAAAACGTGGATTTTTTAAAGATTTTTCTGAGGCCATCCTATTGCCCTGAAACGTGGAGTTTTCAAAGATTTTTCTGAGGCCATCCTATTGCCCTAAAACGTGGATTTTTTAAAGATTTTTCTGAGGCCATCCTATTGCCCTGAAACGTGGAGTTTTCAAAGATTTTTCTGAGGCCATCCTATTGCCCTAAAACGTGGATTTTTTAAAGATTTTTCTGAGGCCATCCTATTGCCCTGAAACGTGGAGTTTTCAAAGATTTTTCTGAGGCCATCCTATTGCCCTAAAACGTGGATTTTTTAAAGATTTTTGCCTAAAAACATGAATTTTTAAAGATTTTTCTGAGGCCATCTTATTGACCTAAGACGTGGATTTTTTAAAGATTTTTCTGAGGCTATCATATTGCCCTTAAAAGTGGATTTTTTAGAGATTTCTCTAAGGCCATCCCATAACCCTAAAACGTGGATTTTTTAAAGAATTTTCTGAGGCCATTCTATTGCCCTAAAACGTGGATTTTTTAAAGATTTTTTCTGAGGCCATCCTATTGCCCTAAAACGTGGATTTATTACAGATTTTCCTGAGGCCATCCTATTGCCCTAAAACGTGGATTTTTTAAAGATTTTTCTGAGGCCATCCTATTGCCCTAAAAAGTGGATTTTTTTAAGATTTTTCTGAGGCCATCCTATTGCCCTAAAACGTGGATTTTTTAAAGATTTTTCTGAGGCCATCCTATTGCCCTAAAACGTGAAGTTTTCCAAGATTTTTTAGGTCATCTTGTAGCCCTAAAATGTGGATTTTTTTAAGATTTTTCTGAGGCCATCCTATTGCCCTAAAACGTGGATTTTTTAAAGATTTTTCTGAGGCCATCCTATTGCCCTAAAAAGTGGATTTTTTTAAGATTTTTCTGAGGCCATCCTATTGCCCTAAGACGTGGAGTTTTAAAGATTTTATAGAGGCACATCTACAATTTATCACAAATGCTAATTATTTTAATTGCCAAATATTTGCTATTCAATTATTTATTAAAAATGTTAGGCATTTTTGAAATCTAGTTTCAGGCTATTTTTTTATTTAAACAAATCACAATTTATCTGCAGATTAATTTTCAAATTTTGGCAATTGAAAAAAATTTATCCATCTTTTAATAAATCATTCTTTAAAAATTCACTCTCCACATTGGGGATTTATTTAATGAATTTCTAAAGCATACTTTCAGGCTAATTTTTTAATTTAAATCAAATCGCAGTTTATCTGCAGATTAATTTCCAAAAATTTAGCCATTTAAAAAAGTGACGATGTTTTTGTCAATCATTCATTAAAAATTCATTCTCCACAAATTGTGGCACTTCATGGCGAAATTACAGCCACTTGAATGGCTGGGATTTCATAGACAGACACCCACACTCATCATTTCATCGTCGTTCGTCATACCTTATTAATTTAATTAAAACTTTGTCACTGATTTTGTTTTAGGCGAATGAGAATAATGCCTGGGAGTTAGCCAAACCTATTTGTTAAACAGTCAGTCCAACCATTCCGCTAAACATTGCTAATGCTCTTCCCCATCTCTTCTTTTCTTTTCAGATATTTAATTTAAAGAAAGTTTTCAAAACTCAAATTAACGACAACGATGATGCCATGCAAATCGATTCACGGGAAACAACAACCTCATCCACCAGCCAGGAGGCAGCGCGCAAGAAAAGTTCCAAAGTTAAGCCATCACGATCTGCGGGTAAGTTGGACGAAACGGGAAAAAAAAACTTTCAAATTCACTTAAATGTTAATTCAATTGGTGGAGGGGTGGGATGGGCGTAGGAGAAGGTGGGAGGGTGTCCATTACAATGTAAAAAGGTGCAATGTGTTTGCATAGAAAATAACTCTCGCCTACCTGCCCACCCACTTTTCAAACTCTCGCTGGCAAAGTCAACAATCAAGGATGTTCGGCGCCCAACACTTGAACACTTCAAGTTTTGCTGCAGCACTTTCTGACAGTTCTGACAATGCTGGGCACTGCTGCATCAGTTTCAGTCAGTCCGTCAGCCACCCAGTCGTCATTCATCCATCAAATGCCATGATGAATACCCATTAGAAGCTACTGTTGTTGTTTGCCATTTGAATAGATTTCCCAGCCTTGTGGCTGGCCATTGGAGGGAGTTCCAGGAAAGTCTGCTGATGGTGGCGTTGATGATATTGCATCTGCATGAAGCTGCAGCCATTTGTTGCTTTCTCCATGGCGGCGGGTACTTTTCATCATCAATATTAACGGCATTAAGTTGGCGATCCTTGAAGTTTATTCAATGAAGCGTGCATATTTTCCAAACTAGCTCTTAATTTGTTTTCTTTGGCATCGCCAAATTTGCCGAATTGATTTTTTTCTGTTAAAAGTTTTGAGGAGGTGTAGGAGTCTTCTCTCTAAATTGCAGCAATTGATTTGTAAGCGGGAGAAAGTTAGGAATTGAGTGATTTGGGAAGGGAAGGAAACTAAGGGAAGTTTTTCCTATAAAACCCCAAAATAAAAGACCAAATATTTTCTCTAGGAAAGTAGCAAAAAATAAATCGTTATAGAAGGACAAAAAGGCCGGGCTGAGCTTTGAATACCCTTACCATTTGGAACGAATTTGGTAATTTACAAAAAAATAAAATTTGAAACAATTCCGGTCAATAATGTCACTAAAATCATTAAAATACCGGAAATAGGTAGATACCATTATATGGGGGGCGAAGACGTGGACCTGCACAGACAATTTTCTGTCTCAGGCTGTAGTATTCATTACGAACTTCAAATACCAAATTTGAAACAATTCCGGTAAATAATGTCGCTAAAAGCATCAAAATATCGAATATCGGGAGGTGCCACTATATGGGGGCTATACGACGATATTCAGTAGTATCCATTACGAATTTCAAATACCAAATTTGAAACTTTTCCGACGAATAGTGCTTCTAAAATCATCAAAATATCGAATATCGGGAGGTGCCACTATATGGCGGCTATACAGAGGCGTGGACCTGCGCGGACAATTTTCTGTCATAGGCTGTAGTATCCATAACGAACTTCAAATACCAAATTTGAAACAATTCCGATGAATAATGTCGCTTAAATCATCAAAATACCGAATATCGGGAGGTACCGTTATATGGAGGCTATACCAAAACGGGAACCTACATGGCCCAATTTCAATAACAAAAGTCCTGCAGACATAATACACATTTGAGTAAATTTTTATCAACCTACTTCATTTCATTCGGAAGCTAGAGTGATTTCCACAGACGGATAGACGGACGGACATAAATCGACATAGAATCTTATGCTGATCAAGAGACTATATATACTTTGTGGGGTCTAAAATGTATATTTCGAGGTGTTCCAAACGGAATGTCAAACTTAATATACCCTCCATACTATGGTGGAGGATATAAAAAAGATTTATTTTTAGATGATTAAAAAGTTCGGTTTGGAGAAGGACCTTAAACGATTGATAGTGGAAGATACACAAGACCCGAAGTCCTATTCCTATAAGAGACCAAAGGCATCTGCTCAAAAACGACGAAAAAGAACTTCTAATGAAAGTCAAAAAGAAGTTTTATAAACGTTGCAAGAAGTCGAGGAATGAAACACGTCCGCTTCGTTAGGGTGTAATTTCAATTCTAGTTTTTATTTAAAAATAGGTTCCTTAAGTACTACTGATACTTATCTAACTTAACCTAATTATTCTTATCTATTCTAATATTGAATGGAGAACATTGCAGGGCTGCTTGCCATTTCATTCAAGTGGTCTTGTACATACAGGGTGAGATGAAGAAACTGCAACCAACTTCAGACTGCCTTTATTTCTAAGCCACTCGTCCGATAGCTGTTAAAATTATTCCAGTGACAGTTCGTTGTATTGTTTACAAGCGAACAAAAGCATTTTGGTGAGAATTTTCCGGAAAAAAAAATTATTCGTGATGGAATTCAAGCATGATAGAGTGATTTCTTTAAATTTTGCCTGAAAACCACAACTGGCTATCGTTGGAGCACTCCAGCATTTAAATGTGAATTAATCTTTTGTGTCTCGTACCATCGCCCGTTACCGTGATACTGGTAGCGTAACCCGACGCCAAGGAAGTGGACGGAAGAAAACAGCAACATCAGCAGAAATGGTTCGAAAAGTAAAGAAGCGACTTGAACGAACACCGCATCGCAGTGGCCGAAACATGGCTCGTGAGCTGAACATATCGCAATATGCCGTCTGGCAAATATTGAAAAATGAATGGAGCTCGGGGTAAAGCCATTGAAACACCAAAAAGTGCAAGAAGTTACACCTCAGCAGAAAGAAAATAAGCTCAGAAGAGCTAAAGAGTTGCTTCGCTTGGCCCAAAAGTGGTGAACTGCCGAATTTGGTTTTTTCCGATGAGAAAACATTCGTTGTCCAGCAGTTTGTAAACAAACAAAATTATCGTGTTTACTTGCCAAAGAGGTCAGCTGAAAACTGAAAATGTGCACCTTCGGTTGGCCACCTGAACTGAAGCGTCGGCCATGGTGATGATGTGGGCCGCCATAACAGCCGATGGTTGCTCTTCGCTCTCCGCTCGTATTAATCGATCGTGGCATCAGAATTGATGTCGAATATTATCGCGAAAATATTCTAGAGGGATTATTAAAGCCATGGCCATTCCAACAGGACTCAGCACCATCGCTCTCAGCAGGCGCCACCAAAAATGGTTACAAAATGAGGTTCCTCGCATCAACTCAATCGCCGGCCATGGTGATGGTGTGGGCCGCCATAACAGCCGATGTTCGCTCTCCGCTCGTATTAATCGACCGTGGCATCAGAATTAATGTCGAATATTATCGCGAAAATATTCTGGAGGGTGTATTAAAGCCTTGGGCACGCAAACATTTTGGTCGCAGACCTTGGACATTCCAACAGGACTCAGCAGCATCGCATTCAGCACGCGCCACCCAAGAATGGTTACAAAATGAGGTTCCTCGCTTAATTTCCAACGCACAATGGCCGCCAAAATTTCCGGATACCAATCCGTTGGACTATTGTGTCTGGAGTATTTTGGAAAGCAAGGTTGCCACTAAAAAATACCAAAGTGTCGATCACCTCAAGCAAGCACTTCGTCGGAAATGGGGCTAAATACCGCAGATCAACATTCGGGCAGCGTGTGATGGTTTCATTGGCCGTTTGAAGTCCACATTTCGTGCCAAAGGTGACCAATTCGAACAAATCTAAACTTATTCTAATATTTGATGCTATTTCCGACATTTTTTGCTTTCATTCAATGAACTTTTAAAAAAAAATGTAAAATTATGGCGTTTGACTTTGTTGCAGTTTTTTTTATCTCAACATGTATTCTTATCTATTCTAATATTGAACGGAGAACATAGAAGGGCTGCTTGCCATTTCATTCAAGTCGTCTTGTACATCTACTGAGCGAATCGATATCTCTGCGTGTGGGTCATAACCTTTATCACAACATCACCAAATTGTTCATGTGTGGTATTTTATATCGACTGGGAAATATGTAATTTTAGAATATTTATTGTCTATTGCTAGATTTTTTTTCAGAGCCTCAACCGCCCTAAAGCATATGTTGTCTAAACCTTGCTAGGGAAAAAGGAAAGGTTTTCTTATTAGAGACTTAAAACATTCTCTTATCAAAATTATATAAGTCTGAATATGTCTTCTAAAAATGGTCTCCTTCTAGGGGACGAAGAAGGACTTTTGAATATGGAAATCTTTATCTTTATTTTTTGTTTATTTTTTTTAAAGTAAAAATTTCCTTTTAAAATTATAAAAAAATTATAAATTATATTTTTGTTAATGTTATATATTTATATTAAGAGGTCAAAATTAAATTAAATCACATTCATTGTTATTAGATAAAATACAAAAAAAAAAAAAAACATAAATAAAAAACTAAATTAATTCATCTGCCATTAGTAGTCGGGTTTTAAGTTATAACCTAGAAAACTATTAAAAAAACGCATAAAATTATTATCTTGTAAGATAGCCCTTATTTTTAATCACTTTTGAAGGGCGATTTGGCGTATTCTTAATGCATTTTAGTAAATAATCAACTCCGATTTTATTCCATTCTTCTTGAAGCCTCTTTTTAAGATGATTTTTCGAAGAAACTGGCTTCTCACGAACACGCCGATCCAAATGATCCCACAAATTTTTAATCGGATTCATGTCGGGTGATTGTGATGGCGTATTTATAATTTTTGGGCAATTGTATAATAACCATTCACGGGCCACGTGGGCTTTATGCTTAGGGTCATTGTCTTGGTATAATTTAAATGTAGACAAAATACCCACTTTTTCAGCAGATTGCTTCAAAGTGTCTTTCACAATTGTTAAATAAGACTCCTTATTCATTATAGCATCAATGAAAACAAGGTTTCCCACTCCTTTCGCCGATATGCATCCCCACACCATGACACTTCCACCTCCGTGTTTTACTGTTGGAGTGATATTTTTCCCTTTCAGTTCCTCATTCGGTTTACGCCAAACCATAGCCTTCCCATCACTTCCAAAAATGTTAAATTTGCTTTCATCAAGGAAAATCACCAAGATACATCCTTCTGAATATGTTCCTTCGCAAAATTGAGGCGATTTCTTCTATTGACCAAATTCACAAAGGGTTTTTTTTTTTTGAGCCACTCGACCGTTGTACCCTTCTCTTTTTATTATGCGGCGTACAGTTAACTCAGAAATTGATTTTTTTAATTCACTAAGCACTAAGTCGCGGATTTACTTTTATTTTCCTGACAATATTGCGTTCTTCCATCTTGGTTAGATTTTTGGGCTGGCCAGTTTGTTTCTTAAACTCAATTCTACCCTCATTTTTGTACCTTCTGACGATATCACCAATCGTATTTTGTTTTATATTTAACATTTCAGCAATTTCTTTATACTTTTTTCCATTTTTGTAATGTATAATTTCCAATTTTCTCAAATTTGGCGGAGTATTTTTTCCGTTACGACCCATTGTAGTTTATAAGAGACAAAAAATAAAAGGAATGCTGTTTATGCACGTGTTTAACTTTTTTGTGTTATGTTAATGCGTGATTCCCCACTTTCTACAGAAAACATGCAGCATTGAAGATTTACAGCGTTGTATTTGCGAGTTAGGGGAAAACCCGAATATTAATGGTGCACAAATATGTTGATATTTTCCGAATTGGTCGAATTTTCTATGTTAAAGTAAATATTACGAAATAGATTATGAGTTAATTTTTACCTCTAAATATGTATATTTCACTACATAAAAAAATAGATTTTTTAAAATCTAAATAGAAATTTCGACTTACAAAAAAAAATCAATAAAAAACCGAATATTAATGGCATTAACTGTATGTCTTAATTTGGAGCTTCTGAAACATTTTTTTATGTCTCCAGTTTTTTTTTTGCAAACTTATCACTTCCTTTTTCCCTTTGCAAATGTATTTCTTCTCTGCTTCTCACTTTGCAGATTGATTGTGCCACATGTGATATTTCTTTATGAGTCTTATTAATTTTTGACATTTTGCTTGGCATTTGCGATTTTTTTTGCTCCCTGTGACCTTAAGGATAATATGGGATTTAGATTTACTTAAAGCGAGAAAAAAAAAACAAGGAGAAAAGGAAGCTTCTGTGACATTGAAATATGGGTGTTGTGCTCCATTTGACTGTGTCCAAAAATACATATTATGGTATTTGACCTTTAGCGTGAGATAAAGTCTTATACAATTTGTTATCATATGCCCTGCAGCGTTTTTTCCGTATTTTTTTTTCTCTCTCTCTTAACTTATTAACTTTGACTTTATTCGCAGCAAAATATTTAGATTGGGGTGGTGCTGTGGCGAAAAATTTATTTTATATTTTCTAAGTTTGCCCTTTTCTTCTCTTTTTTTCCAGTTTGAAAGGATTCCGGTGACTGGGTGCGGAATACTAAGTGTGTCGCTGAAATGGACTACATCTCGATTTATGAATATTCAAATTATGAACACGCTCGCTCATCCAATATAATTTGCCAATAAAATATCATTTTTGGAATTTAATTTAAATGCAAGGCCGTTTTGTTTCTTTTGGAGATGGATGCAGTTGGCAACGGCTAGGCAGGCATTTTATGAAAAAACGAATCAATTTTTGTTCTCAATAAATTTTTTACAAAGAATCAGCGACGTTACAAATTAAGGCAAGATTGCTACATGTGATAATGCTAAACAGCAGATTGGAGACATGAAACTTGTTGTTGGAATATATTATCAAAGGGTTAAGGTAATTTAAGATTTAAAATATTTCTATTTCAGTCTAGGTCAGAGGAGACTGGACCAGTTGGCAAGGGCCATGAGACGGCCATATAAAAAACGAATCAATTTTTGTTCTCAATAAATTTTTTTACAAAGAATCGGCGACGGTATAAATTAAGGCAAGACTGCTACATAAAATAATGCCAAGTGGCAGATTGGAGATAAGAAACTAGTTGCGGAATATGTTATCAAAGTGCACTTTAAGACGGCCATATGAAAATCGAATCAACTTTTGTCCTCAATAAAATTTTTTACAAAGATTTGGCGACGTTATAAATTAAGGCAAGACTGCTACATAAAATGATGGCAAGTGGCAGATTGGGGATAATACAGGGTTGCCCATATTCGACGGACCTTTGGGCCCATTCCAATCGACAAGGCTTGTCCGCAGGCAACATTCTTTGCGTCAATTGAATTTTGTACGGGAACAAATGCAAACCAATGCGAATAATCCGTTGTAAAGTGGACCGAGCCATGCCCAACTGCTGAGAACGGCGTTTTTGGGATGTTCTTGGGGACCTCTCAACACTGGCTCGTACGGCAGCGATATTCTCGGCCGATCGCCTTGGTCGACTTTTATATGGCCTCTTCGGATTAGAAAGAGCTTTACCAGTCGAAAATTTTTCGTATAAACGCTTAATGGTGTTCTTAAAAGGCGCACTTCTCACATTTTTATTTCACAATTGACTTCTTCTGTTGAATGTAAATTTCAACTATTTAATGGAGATAAGACACTTGTTGTGGAATATTTTATCAAAGGGTTATTTAAAATTGGGAATATTTTTCTAGTCTAGGCCAGCGGAGATTGGGAAGTTCCATGCACCCAACCAGACTAGACTACAAGTTTCGCTGTTGGTTAGGGAACCCATAAGGCATATTAGATGCTATTATTAATGGCTATGATGGCTAGGAGACGGGATATGAAAAACAAATTAATTTTTGTTCTCAATAAAATTTTAAGAAAGAAATCAGATAAAATAATCTCAAGTGGCAGATTGGAGATCAGTAATTTCTTGTTGAAAGATTTTATAAAAGGGTTATTTAAGATTGGAAGTATTTTTAGGCTATGTCAGCGAAGATCAAATCTAGGCATGTCTCACGCATCCAATTAGTAGGCGATGCAATTTACTGTAGGTAAGGGACCAATTGGGCATATTAGATGCTATTTTCGTAGCTAGACGAAGACCCTATTTGGAAAGTTTCATAAGCGAATTAATTTGAAACTTTTTTCATTCCGATTTTGTCTTTAATTTGACTTAAGAAACCTATTTCAGGTTTCAATCCTTTTCTAGTTTTAAGTTTTTATTCTTCTAATAATGACCACCATAATATTGAAACCCCGATCTTAGCCTCTGTTGACCCAGGTCAAAAATGAAAATCGATTTTTAGGTAGTTTTAGGTCGAAGGTAGAATTATTTGTCCATTGAAAATTCTGAATGTCGAATTTTGCCCTTGGAAACGTATCCTTAACATAGTTTAAGCCTAGCAGTTTTTTAATTACAGAGCTTAAATTCAAATGTATTTCCCCATTCGTATACCCTCATCCTTATGGCTAAAGAGGGAATATATCATTTGATACGGCCAAAATGTGCCTCATCGAAATAACAGTTTTTGACCCTAAGTCTCTTTCGACCAAATCCGTTTCACGACATTTGGAGTCGATCTAGCGATGTCCGGCCGTCCGCCTGTCTGGATGGTGAGCATGATAACTCTCCGACTTGATCCAACCTTAGTACATTGTCAAACTTAGATCGAGTTCAGAGACGGGCAACATCGGTCCACTCCTTCTCTCTCCTCACCTAAAAAATAACGACATTTTCAAAGAAAATATTTTACTGCACAAAAAGCGAAAGAATGATGATGGCTCCAACTTTGCAGATTCTAATATCTGTATCAGTGCTACGTCAGGTGCGAAAATGGACAATATCGGTCCACTCTATGAAGTTCCACCCCCACAAAGGATTAAATTTGAATTGAATATCCACGAGGCTAATAAAATGCAAAATTAACATCCGATTCCATTCAGACTTGGCAAATCTTAATATTTCCATAAGAACAAGATCTCCTATAAAGATGGCAGAGATCGGATCATTTCTTCTGGCACCTGCTCCACAAAGGGTCAATGTTTGGAATAACCAAAACGATCATAAAATTCGAAATAAGCATTCGGTTCTCTTCAAATTACACACATCACAATATTTTGAATTAACCCAAGGTCTGGTGTGAATGTGGAATATATCGGTGAACTCCTTCTGGTACCTTCCCCAAAAAGGTTCAAAATTTTGAATATCCATGAAACTCAGAAAAAGCAAAATTAACATTCGATTCCATTCAGACTTGGGGAATGCCAATATTTCTAGGAACACAAGATCCGTTACAAAGATGGTAGAGATCGGACTATTCTTTCTTGTACCTACCCCATGTATGGTTCAAGATTTTTAAAAAACAAAACGCTCAAAGAAAGCGATATAAGCATCCAACTTTCTTCAAATTTCCCACATCCAAATATTTTTGTTAACACAAGATCTGCCCAAGCCCTTTTGGTACCTCATGCACAAAGGTTCACAATTTCCAATACCTATATCTGTCATAACTTGCGAAACAGGTCGGCGATTCTTTACAACTTGACATCTGTAAATATTTCTCTTGACCAGAAACCTGATATGAATATATAATATATCGGAATTTATAATTTCGCAAAATATAGGATATAAATATTCAATTTTTATTCTTCTTCTTCATTTTTTTTTAACTCAATGACACTTGTTCTAATTTTCTTCGTCCTGAAATACTTCATAAATTTACTATTTTTAATTTTTCCCAAAATATTTTAAAAAAATTTTCCTAACAATTTACACATGAAAAACTTAATTAAACTAAGTTTTCAATTCCCAAAACAAATTTCCATAATTTCTCAACTTCAAAATAACATCACAAATCATCCATTTTTGCCCCCTTCAGAAATTGTCTCAATTGCCATTTAGGCTTCATAGTAGCACATAGACATTTCTCTAATTCGCAAAACTTTTAATAGCACTTAAACAATTTTAATACTATCCAATATTTTATAGAGTTGTACGGGCACACACACACACACACAGATATCTATAAATGCATATGTGTGCCAAGCAATTTTCCCCCAAAAAAAACTGATATTAGATCTTTGCTGCTGTTGGAAAAAGTTTCGGCTCTTTCTCTGTTTTTGCCATTTTCTGCTTGAGAAATTTCCTATATTGCAGTGTAATTGAGTTGTAGATTTTTTTTTTCAGCTGCTAGAAAGGATTATGGAAAAGGGTGGTGGAATTGGAATTTGTTGAAAATGTCAAAGAATAGGAGGCAGGACATTTTTGGGGAAATAAAATTTGAAGTGCCAAGCATGATGTTGGACAGGTAGATTTTTTGGATTGTCTCGAAAAAATTCTTGGGGAATGTTCCATTTATTTGGTATCTCATGACGATAAACTCGGATACCCATGCTCGTATTTTAAAACCTATCTGAAGATGGTTATGGTGGACCAGCTAAATTTCCAGATTCACATTTCAAACATCATCACCACAAAATGACCGCATGTATTTTCAATTTCTTTGTTCACTTTCGATTTTATAATCCAATAAGGTATTACGTTCAAAAAGAAAGGACAAAGGGTGGTGATTGGAATTTGTTTAAAATGTCAAAGAATAGGCGGCAGGACATTTTTTCGGAAAAATAAAATTTGAAGTGCCAAGCATGATGTTGGACAGGTAGATTTTTTAGGATTTTCACGATAAAATCCCTAGGGAATGGTCTATATATATTTTTTCGGGGGATTTAGAGTATTGTTAAAGAAGTGTAATACGAATCCATGTTGATCTATTTATTTAGAATCACAAAAATATTCTTTAAGAACTAACTATTATTATATGTCTAAATCTATATTATAAAAATCGAAAAAGTTCTGACATAGGTGACCAACATGGGTTTTTTTCCACAAGATTTTTATGGAAATATAAAATTTTAAGTGCTAGGAATGATATTGGACAGCTAGGCTTTTTAGGATTTTCTCGATAAATTTTCTAGGAAATGATCCAATTTTTGGGCGAGTTAGAGTATTGTTTTGGTCTTAAGTCTCTTAAGTCTTAGGTCTTTCTAAAAAAACAAAAAGGGAATTTTTGGGAAAGGATGTTTTTGAAAAAACTGCAATTTGAAGTGTTAAGAATGATTTTGAGCATCTGGCCTTTAAGGTTAGGTTTTTCACAAGAAAATTCCTTGGGGATGGTACATTTTTGAAAGAGTTAGAATATTGTTAAAGAAGTCTAATACGAATTCTTGATGGTCCTTTTATTTGGAATCTCAGAATTTGGGGTCTGAGTCCGCCTAAGAGCTAGGGATAGAAAGGGTCTTTGGGGTGTCTTATTGGAATCTCATATTTAATTTCCAGTATCCTAAACTCGTACCTTAGAGTCTATAGTTCTGATTCTCTTCTGGAGAAAATTTGAAAGAGAGAAGTAAGGTTTTACTCTTCGCTTTCATCCTTTGAGGCCTATTCTTTTGGAACCTCTTTGAGCGTCTGCCCTTTTTAGGGGTTTCACAAGAAAATTCCTTGGGAATGGTCTATTTTTTGGAAGAGTTAGAGTATTGCAAAGGAAGTTTAATACCATTTTTGAAAGAGTTAGAGAAATGTTAAGGAAGTGTAATACGAATTCTTGATGGTCTTTTTATTTAGAATCTCAGAATTTGGGGTCTGAATCCGCCTAAGAGTTAGAGAAAGAAAGGG